GTTGTGATTCTAGGACGTCACAGGCGGTTGTGCAGAAGTGCGTGAGCAGGGAGGATGGCTGGGCAGGCAGCGGCGGTGGAGGTGTCATCTCAGGGAGGGCCCCGAGAAGGGGCCACCTGGGGCTGAGCTGAGAGGGAGATGGTGACACCAAAGGAGACCAGGGGTCTGGGAGCTCTGTGCATTCGGAGGTCCTGGACTGGCCCCAGTCAGACAGCTGGGTCACAGAAGAGGGCCAACTGATGCGCCTTCCTATGTTCTGTCCCTGAAGAGAATTTGAGAGCAGCCGTCCTGCTGAAACTGAACCCGCTGGGCAGGGGTCCTACAGAAGGGCAGAGGGGGGATCTGCTGATGCTGAGGGCCTGGTGCTCTCTGCCTTTCTGGGAGCAGCCTCAAGCCCTGGGGGGTGTGGGCCTGTTTTCCTCTCACGTTCACCGGGAGGGCAGATGGGAGTTAGGGGTTGAACGTGGAACAGGGACTTCTCCAGCTAAAAGGGAACTACTTTTTTAGCTTTGTTTTTTGTTCTTAAAACTGCTCTATGTCAGTGAAGGAAATAGAGGTTCTTTCATGAAGAACAATTAAACATTCATTGGAAGGCGACTTGGAGACTGTTGTCCAGGGCCCCCATTTTACACCTAGGACAGAGCACTCAGGAAGGCTGTGGGACTTGCTCTGAGTCACACAGCCCGCTGGGGACAGGGCCAGGCCTGCTGACCGGCTCTGTCCATGTGTGCAGCCCATGCCTCCTGCAGACCCCTCACATCCCCGAGGGCTCACCACTCTCACGACTCCTGGTAGACAGCTGGTCCGGGAGTTGCTCGGAGGCACACAAGGGCGGCTGCAGCCTGTCGTACCACGTGCGGGTTTCCCTCCAACTCGGAGTGGACATCTTCCACCGCTGCTAAGAGAGCACCCCAGTCCACAAGAGTTTAAAATTGTCACCTAGCTCTTTGCCAGGCCAGGGGAGGTGCCTGTAGAGAAAGAAAGGGGGACGATGACAGTTTTCAGGTATTCTAGGACAGCTGCGAAGCCGCAGGCAGAAAGAGTGGCTGCACGAAGGCCCGAGACGCTGGCCCCGCCCAGCCAAGCCCCTGCAGCTGCGGGCCTCGCGCCGCAGGCAGGCCGAGGGCCTTTGCCGCTGTTCGGCCCAACTCTCACCCCTCCCTAGGCCCTGGGCCTGTGGGGGCTGCATTTGGCCCCAGCTGGATCTGCTCTACGAACAGCCCCTTGGACAAGATGCTCTGAGATGTGCTCGCAGACCCCTAAGCAAAGCAGGGTCTGTTTCTGGCCCGTCTCTAGTGCTCACGAGTCCTGGAGTTACTGTCACTGTATAAATTCAGCTGTTGTTACCAGGAATGCATTTCACGTTTTTCTCTCTTCCCCATCCTGCTTCTGTCCGTCATTTGGACGAGTACCCATCCTCTCAACCATCCACCTTCTTCTCCTCTATGTTCCTGTTGGCCACCCAGAGCGGGGCGGGAACCTTAGGCTAATCCTGTGCTGAGGCAGTGCAGGGCCTCGAACAGTCTTGTCTCCACTTAATTCTCGAGCTTTTTCCCTTCATTACTGGATTGCAGTTTAGGCCTAACTCACCCACCAGTCGTGTTCCCAGCACTGAGCACAGAGCCTGGCAGAAAACAGCAGCTCAGTGAACAGTTGTTGACCTGGTGAATTCCCTTAAGCAAGTTGCAGACTCCTCCGAGCCTCAGGTTCTCTACCTGTGAAATGGGCCTATACTCAAATTACTGTGTTGTCTTTCAAATTGAGGATTAAGTCATGAAATACGAAGCTCATTGCCTACCTCACAATTCATGCTCAGTGAAAGGTCACTGATACTACTCACTTGTTCACCTGAAGAAAAACCTAAGCCTAGCAGATGTCTTGAAGGCGGCCTCGGACGGGGCCAGGTGGGTGACTAGATAAACACAGAAGCTGAGCGAAAGGAAACTAGGGTGGAGGGCTTCACAGGTAGGATATTTCTAGGGTTCCTCTGAGCTCTGTGTCTCGTGACTTTGGGACGTTTTCAGCAGTAGGATTTTTGGCAGATGTGCAGGAGAGTGACATGCCTCTCACTCTCTGTCATCATCCACCCACAAAGGGTCAGATGGCATTTAGTCAAGGGGAGGGAAGCATTCTTGGCATAAGTCACCGTGTCAGGGGTGTAGTGAGTCCTTCCCACGTGTGCCCGCCAGAGGACACGTACCTCGGGTGCACGCGTGCCTGCCAGAGGACATGGACCTCAGGTGGGAGGCGGGTTTCGGTGTGGGCAGGGCCGGGACACACTGTTGGTGGCTTCTGGGTGAGGGTCCCCTCCCCTGTGGCGACCCTGGCTGCTTCTCTGCTGCCCCTTCCCCCGACATTGCCTCTCAGCCAACTACAAACCGAGGCTTGCTGAGACGAGAACAATGAACTCAAAAGCGTGACAAAGCCCAGGAGACGGCTCCCAGGCAGGCGCTGCCCTCTCCATCCTGGAGACGAGATCTGTGGACACGTGGTCCCCCCGTCAGCGGCCCTGCCGGCTCAGCTGCAACTGCTGGAGCTCGAGAGCCGCCTGGCCCGGGACAGCTGACCCCCGCCCTCTGCAGTTGTGTGTTTGGGTCACTCAGGCCTGTGAAGTGACCTCACCGGTCACATGAAACCCCCTGCACTCTTGCCACCATGCTTTTGCAGGAAACCTTAGAGTTCTTCAGAATTTGAAGCAAAGATAATCTCAGAACATCAAACTGAAATTCCCAAATTGTTAAGACAGAGTGACATCTCCCTATAACATAAGTGGGAGTCAGAAAAAAAGTTCAAGTGGTGCTGGAGTTGCCGTATAATGTGGATCATCGAAATGCCCAGGGCCTGTGAGCCTGTCCACAGAGCTCAGTCCATCCCAGCCTGGCTGCTCTTTGGCACCACCTGGTGGTGGGTGTCTGCCCTGGGATCATCTGGGGGCTGCTTGGGGTCCTGTGTCACCAGGTGTTCCATCAGCCAGGCTAGCGATGTCCGGTGGGAGAAAGTTAGGGGACATGCGGCCTGCCCTCTGACCCCAGAGTCCTTAGAAGGGCTGCCTGTCCCTCACGGCCACGTCCCCCACCCAGGAAGTAGGAATTTCGGCCACCCCCGGCAAGAAGAGCTGAGGACGGTGAGCCTGGCAGGGGAGGCCAGCCGCCAGGCGTGGACACGTCTCCACAGAGTTTGCTGTCTGCAGAAACAGGCCTGTTACCCTCTGCAGATCTGCAGGTCTTGTTTTGCTTTTCCCTTTGGGGAGCTGCAGCTAAATACGAGGAGGGCGTTAACACGTGGTAACTTCCTGTGACGTCGTGCTCGAAGTAAAGCGTGAGTCTGCCCAATATAATCTTTCTGTTTGTGGCTCACATCAAGAAACTCGTAGCGCTTGGTGACTCAGTCAGGGAAGAAAAGCCGGTGAGTACGTCCAGCCCTTCAGGAGACGCGGCACTCGCCTGTTAGCAGAGCCGTGTGGGCTGGTTAGAAGTCACAGCCACTCCATGAAATCTGTATTAGTTCTGGAAAAATGCATTGATGTTTGTGACAAATGAAAATGATCAGTTTCTTGTGTTTGAGGAGATTTCCTTTTTGAAAAACGAGGACAATTCTTGTAATTCCATCGCACGTGAAGATGTATATACGTGTCTTCACATCCACAGGGCGCTGCAGACACAGTGCAGCCTCAGAGACATGAATGACGAAATGCCACGCGCGTTCAGACTCGGGCATTCAGACTTCACAGTCAACAGAACCCTCCAGTCAGGGGGCTGCAGTAAGGGCCACTGAGGGCACCTGGGCCTCCAGGCAGGAGTCTCATACCAAGGACTTGCCGTCATTTGCTGGAATACTTCCAGTAGTGGGGAACTCATCCCCAGGCCTCCTGCTTCTTGGAGAGCTTCGTGTTCACATAGTGTATTTCTCGTGCTGGGCCACGTCTGCCTCCCTGTAACTTTTGCCCTAGTTTTGTCAATTGCAGCTGCTCAGAAGGAGTGTAAACCCCTTCCCGTGTGGTGTCCCTTCAGCCACTTGAAGACGCCTGCGCGGCCTCACCCCTCCTCTCCTTCCAGCACTGATGGCTCAGCGCCCTTCCACACACTCACGAGCCCCGGATCCCCGTGCACATCTGGGAGCCAGTCCTCAGCACACACATACGACGTCACATTAGGGCTTCTGGCGTGGTCTGTGCTGTCTCCTGAGAAGCCCCCCGAGCTGATTGAATGAGTCGTCTTGCAGGGGCGGCTCCTCTGGTTGCCAGGAGTTTGCGTGTGCAGACGTGCGGTGTGAGGGGTTGGTGTCTCCCCAGCTGCCTCCCGACCCCGCAGGGCCTGGGAGCTGACGGGCGCCGGGTCTCGTTGCAGGCTACCTGAACGTGCTCTCCAACAGCCGCTGGCGGGAGCGCTGGTGCAGGGTCAAGGACAACAAGCTGGTCTTCCACAAGGACAGGGCCGACCTGAAGACCCACATTGTCTCCATCCCGCTCCGCGGCTGCGAGGTCATCCCGGGACTGGACTCCAAACACCCCTTGACCTTCCGGCTGCTTCGCAACGGACAGGAGGTGGCTGTGTTGGAGGTAAGGCTGCACACACGGTGGTTTCCCTCCCGGGTCCAGCCGGACTCCCCGCCACTCCTTCCACCTGGCGGGGGCGGCCTTCTCTCTCACCTGGACCGTCTTGGGGGGTCCTGCTTTTCTTCTGCCCTCGCCTCCCTTCCAGGGGTCCCAACAGTGTGGACAGCACAGCCAGTTCCTCATGCAGCGTCCACATCAGACTGTCCGCCAGGTCACCCCCTTGTTTGATTTCCTCTCTGTACATGTTCCCCTGGGAAATTAAATACACAGCCCCATACAGTGGGTTGCTTTTGAAAAGTGGCCACAAAACAACTTGTTTTAAAATTTCCAGTAGAACTTTCCCCCTGACTGTGGTCTGCCTCTGAAGTGGTGGTGCTTCCTTCACGTTGCCCTTGGGAATGTTCTGGGCTTCCTCACAGACGGAGCAGGTGCTTTTGGACAACCAGTCGCCTGTGGCCAGTAGCCAGTGAGCCAAATTACGTGGAAGCTGAAAGAACACTTGGCTTTTAATGAACCCTTGGCTTTGTGTGCATTTTACTGTTTGTTTGACTGCTTTTTTAGACTTCCTTATTCACCAAAGCAGAAAAAGGCAATTAAAACTAATTTCTTAGTGACACACTGAAAACTTTCATTTTTGAAATTTGAAATTTTTATTTATCATCTATTATTAATTTACTCTTCTACCAAATTATTAATTCAGATCTTTTTTCCTTTGTCTTTTATTCCAGTTAGTGTTACCATGATTGAGATACAAAGATACACACACACACATGTGTATCCATGTATAAATGAATATCAGATCACAGAATTTCCAGAGTGCATGTTAAGTGTATCTGTGTTATATAGTCAATAGAAAGGAGGATATTTTGGCTTTGGTGGAAGGGCTGATGTATGTCTTAAATTAATCAGATGCAGAGCCAAATTCTAAATGACTGCAGTGATACTGTCCATGGAGGAAAGAGCGTGGGGCTTGTGGCCAAGATCAGAGAGGCCCAGTTAGCCAATCTAGAAGGTCTTGGTGGGGGACAGGAGTTTGTTTCAGAGACTACTGTTTTCGTTGGGGGACAAAAAAAAAAAAGATTAACAGCATAGTTCTTCCACCTGCGGGGCTCCTCGCCCAGTGGTTTGGATGGTTTGAGATGACAGGTCAAAGGAGCGAGCCTGCCCCTCGTGGCTGACTCTGCAGCGTCTGATTTCACAGAAGGAAGGCCTGGCCTGGCTGAGGCCAGCGTGTCGGGGCCCCTGCCTTAGTTCTGTTGCAGACTTTGGTCACATCCAGTGTCTGAAAAGCAGAGCGTTGGGCCAGAGTCAGTGTGCTTTGTAAGCATTTATGCAGGCCAAAAACTGTCGGGCGGATGGCGGGAGAGAAAGCCGAAAACAGAAACGAGGAAACTGTCCTCTTGATGTGAAACAGCGCGGGTGCCATCTGCAAGCTTTGGCAGCAGATCTGAGAGAGGATGCAGGGGCGGGAGCTGGCCCCCGCTGGGTTCAGGGTGAAGAGAGAAGCTGGCCAGGATGCCGGGTGGGGAGGGGCTGGGTGGGGCGGCCCCTGTGCTGCCTCTGCTCCCAGCCCTGTAGGTGCAGCCCATGTCCCCGGAACCACAGTGGTTGTGTTCCACTGCCTTTGCCCTGTACCAGTCTTGGACTCAAACGCATGTAGAAGTAACACACAGCAGTCCACTATAAGCAGAGGCTTTGCCTGAATCAGTAAGGAAGTGCAGTGAGCCAGCCAAAAAGCTGTCTTTGGTACTTTTTCTAAGATCGTTTTGTCTTAACTTTTGAGATAATTTCAGAATTACAGAAAAGTGAGAATGGTGCAAATAACTCCCGTATGCCCTTCACCCGTACTCCCCACATACTAACATCTTAACATGTTTACTACCTCTCGCGTGGCCTCTCGCTTTCTGTGAAGTTTTTCAGAACCTTTTACAGATGTGTTTCTCCTTTGTCCCCAAAACACTTCAGGGTAAATTTGCTTAAAATGAAAGCTTTCCCTTACCCAAACCACTGTCTAATGATCGAAACCAGGAGATTAACACTCAGACAATACTATTATCTGCCTTGCAGATTTTAATCTGATTTCCCCAGTTATCCCAGTAACGCCCCCGTAAGCAGAAGGAAATCCCAGGTCGCGTGTTACACTCAGCTGCACGTCTCTTTAGCCTTCCCTGTCTGGTCTCCTGCCACTGATACTCGTGATGGGTACAGACCAGTTACTGTGCAGAACGTCCCTCAGTTCAAGCGTGTCTCCTGTTTCCCCGAGATTGGAATCTGGGTGTAGGTGTCCTTGACCGGGCGGTGGGAGGGGCGGTGTGTTGTGTAACACCTCACACCAGCAGGTACACCTGTCAGTTTGTCCCACTGCTGAGGATGTTAACTTTGATCCCTAGCGTGGGGCGTCTTCTTCATGCTTCCCAATGCAGAGTTACTGTTTCCCCTTTGTCTTTAATAAGCTTTAAGTGGGAAGGTAAGATGCTGTTCCAATATCCTGTTATCACTCACAATTTCACCCACTAAGTTTTAACATCCATTCATGGCTCTTGCCTGAAACAGTTATTACAATGACAGTTGCCAAATGGGGTGTTTCTAGTTTCATTATTCCTTCTGCACATTATTAGTATCTACTAAAAGGGAGATTTCCCTTCCTCGCATTTAGTAAGCTATTCTTCTATGTCTGTGTGTGTCAGCAGGGATTCATAGATTATTGTGTTGATCAGTGGTTATAATCCTCTATTGTCAGGACTTATTTTGGTCAAATTAACAGAGTTGGTCAGTGGAAAGCCCTCGGAGCTTGTGGCCTTTGCTCTGTCCCTGTAATAGCAACCCCGCAGTCCCCATCCTTCTTGGAGCACTTCCCTCAAGCTGTGATGCAACACGATGTTCCAGGCTCGTCCGGTACTTCTCCTTGCCCCAGGCCTCTTGGAATCGGCCGTGCTCCAAAGAGCTCTAGTGGATCCCTCCTGGTGGAAAATGGTATTTAGAAACCAGATCTGGGTGAAAAGTGTACTCGTTGTTTCCGGAGTGTCATTGCCTCCAGGCCTTTTCATAGTTAAACATAGGAAATTTGTGTGTGTGTGTGTGTGTGTGAACGTACACATACACGTATTCAGGCATGTATATATGTTATACAAATTTATAAGTATGTATGTGCACATGTATATACATACATATACGTATACACCCACATCTATATCCATGTATATCCTGAAAGCCACAAGATCATAACTAATGCTTTAACTGCAGTCCAACACCACAAAGTTATCTTTTAAAAGCCTATGAAGAAATTCTTTAAAATGAAGAAAACTGTTAATAAACTGCAGTGTAATAGGACCAATCACGTCTTAGGCAGTGTATTGAAATACTTTAAGAAGTGCTTGGATGAAATAGGAATAGCTACACTGATACAGATTTGGGCACAGATACGCTCTTGGGGTAGACTTGCTTTGGGAAGGTACAAAAGACTAGCGAAGAGAACATGCTTGTGTTTTTTTTCAATTATTCAAGTATTCAAATCAATTCATTTCACTTTAGCAAACACTGATTACATTCTTACTCTGCAAGGCACGTATCTGGGATCCATCTGCTTTGTCCAGTGGCCCCATCTGATACTGGCTGGAAATGGTCTGTTACTTGTATGACTCACTCGCCAATTCTGTCAGCACACATAAAACACCTTCTCTCGCCAACAGCTCCTCCTCCCGAGAGGGTTTTGTGCCTGGCGTGGGGTACATACGATTACCTGTCTTCTGATCAGTGTCCAGCTTGTCAAGGTTATAATAATAAAACTCAATTTTCTTCAAGTCTTGAAGCTAAACTTACAGATCTTCCTTTACATAAAAAATTTGTAATTTTTACAAGAAGTTAAAATTTAATTTTTTCTCTGACAGCTCATACGTTTGATAGCTCATTTGCTTTTAAACTTTAAATGTTATTTACACATTTGATCAATCAAATGTATTTAGACATTTTAAATACCATTATGAATGTAATGTAATTGGTTTTCTAAATCACATAACAAGGAAGGCTTAAAATTTTAATGAACCAAATCTTAAAGGTGTATTTCAGACTTGCAAATTAGGCAGATGACATTGGGGTGGGGGGGGCACTTCAGACATCTTAAAAAACAGCATGCTCAAAGCCGACCGGTGATTATAGACATTTCTACACCTGTATAAACACGACTAATATGAAAATGAAAGTAGGTTAATTTCCTACCATCTAATCAGGGAAATCAAATTGCCATTTCAGGCCCATTTAGACCACAGCAAGAGCTTCTGGTCCTTTTGTGCCCAGATTTTGTTGCCAAATGAAGGAGGCTTTCTAAACAACTTCCTTAGCTGAGATTTAAGTGATCACATTGATGTCTATATTTTACAGCCTACTGCCTTTCCCCCCAAATAACTGGAAGGCACTTTAGGACCTCGGGTTTTTATCTCCTTGGGAATAATCATTGTGTAACCTGTGCTTTAAGGCTTAGCGTGAACGCAGCGTGAATCCCATGACTCAGACAATGACCGCGGCCTCCTCATGGGTTCCACACCTCACGTGCTTCCTGTTTCACTGCCTCTCCCGTGATGTCATCTCTTTATTGACATGTTAGTGAAAACGTTAAAACTCTTCACCGTTATTTCAATAAAGTGCTCTTTTCCCCCTTTGACCTAAACAGGCATCTTCTTCTGAAGACATGGGCCGATGGATTGGGATTTTGCTGGCTGAGACAGGGTCCTCGACCGACCCCGGGGCTCTGCACTACGACTACATAGACGTGGAGATGTCGGCGAACGTCATTCAGACAGCCAAGCACACCTTCTGGTAAGACCCAGTGCTGTGTGAAATGCCCTGAAGTTAAACGACTTTATTTTTTCCCTGATTTTCACTGTTTGTGTAAGTATATAGCCTTAAAGAGGAAAAAACACCAGCTAAAGACTCTCCTTTTTGTATTATATTAATCAAAATTTTGCTGAAATATTTGTCATTTCAACCATCTCTTAGAACAAGGATTGGCAGACTGTTTTCTCTTAGAACAAGGATTGGCAGACTTCTCTGCAGAAAGCAAGATAGTGATATTTTTAGCCTTTTGGACCAAGTATTCCTGTTAAAACTACTCAGCTCTGCCACTGTAGTCACACACAGTACATAAAAGAATGGACGTGGCTGTGTGCCAATAAAACTTTATTTGCAAACATAGACAGTGGGCCAGATTTGGCCCCTGGGCTGTAGTTTGCTGACCCCTGTATGAGGGGAACAGTTCTATAAAGCAGAGCTGATTCTACATACTGCTGTAATGGGAACTGAGTTTTCAAGGCTGTCAGTCATGTACTTTTAAAACTTTAAATTGTGATTTTTTTTAAAAAAGGCTATTATGTACAAAAGCATTTTTTTAAACCATGAATGTTTCTTTAACATAATGATGGCAAAGATAATTACAGCAGCAGTTCTCAAAGCATGGTCCGCAGACCCCTAGGGGTGTTTAAGGCCCTTTCAGGCAGTCCCAAAGGTCAAACTATTCTCATAATGATGCTAAGAAATTCTTTTTCTCCTTGGCTGCAGTGACATTTGCATCAGTGGTGCAGAAGCAGGTGGAGGGCAAATTGGCTTAACAGCCTCAGTTGTCACACCACACTGCTGTCACCATTGTCACTGCCACGCACTTGCAAAAAGGAAATGCTGGATTCACTTAAGATGTCTGTGGTGAAGCAGTAAAATTATTACTTTTCCTGTGAAGGGCCAGGTGGTGGGTATTGTTATTAAATCTCTTGAGCACGTGTCTTTTTAACATTTACAGACATAGCTGGCGGGGGGTGGCCACGTAAAGCTAAGTTCGCTGAACTGCCGTGTTGTCTTAAGGAAAAGCTCTTGTAAGACTGAGTTGCTAACTAAACTAGCTGCTCCCCCCCCCCGTTTTTTTCATTTTTACTTGAAAAACAATTTAGCAGATGAGCTGTGGTTATTCAGACTTAGGTCTCTGCAGACATTTTTTCAAATATCAGCCAAATGAACCCTTCATCTCAAGGGAAACAATTGGCTGTGTTTGTTGCCTGTGATACGGCTGAGCTTTCACTCGGAAACTAGAATTTGGGGAAATTGGTATCTGCCACCGGGAGCTGACGGCTTCAATACTTAGGCTTTCCTGGTGAGACTGGTGGTGATGTTGAGCGTGATTTTTCTGGTATTGCATGATGAAGTGTGTCAGCATTCAAAGGTGTGCATAAGTCTTGCACCAGCAGAAGGCCCGTTCTACGTGCAAGATAAAACTCATGGGCTTTACTGCAAAAGAGGACCGAAAGCTCGTTGCTACAATTTCAGTTCTACATCGCAACTAATCATTAAGAAATGACCACTCGTCGAGCTTTGGTGTAGTATCAAAGCATATCTACGGTTACCTGGAAAAGCTATTAAAATGCGCCCCGCTCTTCCGACTGGGGATCTGGGGGAGGCTGCGTTTCCTTCACACACTTTAACCAAAACAGCAGCCTGTGACAGGCTGAAAAACAAGTGTGAGAATCCAGCTGTTTTCTGTGAAGCCAGATGTTGAATAGAGTTACAAACATGTAGAACCAGGACCACTTTTCTCACAAATTTTTTTTTTGGATAATATAGTTAGTTTTCATAAAAGTATGTTGAAATACGTCGGATCTATTCCTGTTACTTTTAAATGAATAAAAAAGAATACATTTTTGAGTTTCAGTTTCCAATACAGGAAGCACTGATAACACCACAGAAACGAAAGCTCTTTGGGAGTCTCCGGTAACTTTAAAGGACGTAAAGACTAAAACGTTTGAGGATTGCTGATCCACAGGAGTGAGTCAGTGAGATGAAGCACCAGCTGGCTCATGTTGCATACTGCCCACTGCCTAAAGCAAGGGCTGGTCAGCCTTTCCTGTGAAGGGCAAGATGGTGAACAGTTTCAGCTTTGCCGACCACACGTTCCCCATGGTGACAACCCTCTTTGTCGCCATGCCCAGCTCTGCGTGGTCGGGGAAGAGCAGCAGGATGGTCCTGAGACCAGTGGACGTGGCCGTCTTGGCAGGGGTTTGCTGTGAGCTGTGCCCGTGGGATTACGAGGGGAAGGGCGCTGGACCAGGGCGAGGGAGATCGGGTTCTGGTCCTGCTGTCCTAGTTACTAAGCGGGAAGTTTTGGACAAGGCATCACAGCCTCTCCGTGTCTCAGCTTCCCTGTGTAGAAGATAGAGGTGAGGCCAGAGGGCGTCCAAAACTTCTAGCTCTAGTGCCTGTGGCCCCTTGATTCCTGCTTCTGTTTTAGAGAGTCTGGACTGGAGCCGAGGAAAGGAGGACTGAAACAGAGCAGGCGATGGAGTTATGTAATCAGCAAGTGACCATAAACAAACCAACAACGTTGGCAAGCCCTCCGGGGCTCCCTAAGACAATGAGACCTTTGAATGTGAAGAAGATGAGCATGGACGCTCACACTGTCATTTGCCCGCTTCACGTGGACACCACCGTCTGGTTTGTCCACACACGCGGTGTCACGGGGGATTCGAGCAGTCTTCCTTTGTGTCTCAGGTGGTGGTGCAGAGTGAACGGTTATCAGTGCTCGGCCAGGACATCCTGGGCTGGGTACAGATGACTCTGGCCCATGTTAGGGATCAGGCCGCCGCTCACCCGACTACGGGAAATAGCCTTGGCAGAAGGAAGTAGTCGTGTACAACTTTACCAGAAAATCTCCAGGAGTGCGAGAGGATTTCTGGCATGTAAACCACCTATTCTTATTACTGTTCTGTTGTGTGAAAACCAGGCGGCGTGGTCTGGTGCCGACTCTTCTGCGGGCCCTCAGCACTTTTCCATCACCACATTTTATCTAATCAGCAAAATTACAATGACTCTCTTGATCATGTAGTAAATAAAGCACATTTAAAGCAGCTTTTTAAGAAATGTAATGTCCAGTTTGGCAAAATCTACACACCTAGGGTGATGTGAAAGAAGGGAGGTCGTGGTTATTACCGTACTACCGTGGGCATTACTCGTTTCCAAAAAGCCTCTCCTAGGTCCACGCTGCAGCTTTGATGGTAATAAACAAACTAACAACCACATTTAAGAGAGACCTTGACTGCAAATAGTTCCCCTGGAAAACAAAGGAGTGGCATGTTCATCTAAACCAAACGTGAGAAGGTCACATTTTCGAGAAAAGAATGTAGATTGCAAAACTGAACACTTATTTATTAAAAATATGCTTGTAGTGAGTTTATGGCTGAAAGAATGTTTGCCAGCCTATGAATATCTTTATAGGAGATGTTACTTAGCAGCAGAGTTCGTTTTTATTTATTAGTTTTCTGCTAAACCTTCTTGTAAAACTTACAGGAGAAGAGATTTAACAAGGAAACAGTGTTCAAAATATAAAATGTGGTAGCTTGCCTGTGTGGTAAATAATCTAAGATTAAGTTAATCTTTGCCTTTACGTGTTTTCTGTGGGGAATTTTCTGTGCACTGGATTACGTCTGAGGGAGAAAGGGCAGTAATATATTTTGGGAAGAGGACAATAAAAGAAAAAATAGTCATGTCAAGTCTCCCAGAAAAGTGCTATATTTAAGAGTATTAATAAGGTAAACAGTTGAAATGTACTTTTCTGGAGACCTATTTTTAAGTAACATACATAGGTGACCTGATGCAAGGAAAACTTTCTGAAATTTTCTTCTGAAACTCTTTTCAAGACATGCTTGGTTGGAGACCCACAAGACAGCTATAGCAACCCTGATGACAAGAGCTGTAGGTCAGGGTGGACAAGGAGAGGGCACAGACAGACTGCCAGGGAGCTGTCCGCTCGAGTCACCCTCTCACCTGAAGCCCTGGGAAATTACTCTAAACGTACTTCCTTAAACCCTAGATGAACCTTGCACGTGTCGTGCTAAGTGAAGTAAGCCAGGCACGAGAGGACGAATGCTGGGTGGCCCTCTCACGAGGTGCTGGAGCCGGCAAGTCTACTGAGGCAGAAAGTGGAATCGGGGGTGGGGGTGGGGTCAGAACTCCAGTTCAGGAAGATGCCAGGCTCTGAAGACGGGTGGCGGTGATGGCCACACAGTGATGCGAATGTACGTAATACCCCAGAGCTGCACACTTAAAAATGCTTAACATGGCAAAGCTTCCACCATGTATATTTTACTAATACATGTATTTTTCTATGTCTTTTGTTTTTGGCTTAGCAAGTGGCATGTGATCTCTTATCTCACTTCCACTTCCCTATTTGGCTAAAAATCCCATTGTAGAGAGAGCACCGGGCCAGCAAACAAGGGACCTACTCCTACGTCTTGGCTCCACTCGCTGTTTAGGGCCCGGAGACTTGGTTTCGGGACCCAGGTCCCTCTCTGTGAGATGAGGGCTGGGCTAGCTGGTGGCTGAGGCCTTGTGCAGCTAGGACATCCTCCGTGTCTGTGACCTCCCATCCTTGTCTGTGACCTCCCATCCTTGTGTCCTGTGAGTCAGAAGCATCCCGCCGGTGTTCCCAGTCAGCTCCTGTCCTGCCCTTCGTGGTCCACTCTCCTTCCTGGTGTCCCTGCCCCGGCGTGAACACGAGGCACAGCGCTGGAAACGGAGGCACAAAGCAGGCAGGGGGCAGAATACTCTCAAACTGGATATTTCAACCCGAAAATTTTACGTATTTAAAAACAAACCAAATCTTTGTCTTTCTTGTAGTCTTTCTTTTCTATATATTTTCTTTCCCTAAATATACTCTCATGTACTTTAAGTGTCAAATAATCATATGCATTTTTTTCAATCAGAAAAATCAAGAAGTTTCTTGTAAGTTAAAGAGAGTAAGACGTTTAGGGCGGCCTAGCGGTGCAGGGCCGTCTTCTCCCAGCAGGGGGCAGTGTGCGCACCCAAATCTCCACCTGCGTGGGAGCCGAGGGCGGTTCTGCCTCACCCTTCAGACAAGGCTGAACCAGCGCTCACGGCGTCGCTCCGCTGCCGGGTCTCTGCTCAGAGAGGCAGCTTTCTCCTTCCCCTGTACTGCCCTCTTTTCTTTTTTCGCTCGCTCTCTTTTCTGTTCATCTACTTACCAAAGAAATGTAAGATCCCAAGAAGAAACGAAATTGAAAAAAAATTTTTTTTTTACTTGCGGCCGTCTTAGTTTTCCCAGTGAGGAGAAAACGTCACGTAGGTTATGTCTTTCCTAGGCGTCAGGCCTTTCACTTAGAACGGACGCCATGGACAAACCAGCCCGACGCCTGTTCATTGCCCCAGCTCCCGCAGGGGGGCACCTGGCGCTGGTCTCCTAGTGGGGGGAGGCAGTGGACATGCGGCTCTGTACTGTGTGAGGTGGGCGTGGTCTCAGGAAGGAGACGTGGGGGAGGTAGGCGGTGATGCTGTTTATTTGGGGGGATCAGGAAGGGCTCCTCAAACTCCCTTGGAGACAGGAAGAAGGAGGGGTCTGTGGAAGAAGAGCTGCGGGGGGGCCGGGGCGGGAGTCAGGCCACGCAGCACTCGGGTTACTCTTGGACGCACTCCAGAAGCCCCCCGAGGCTTTGAGCTGGGCAGCGTCGTGGGGTGAAGGTAGCCTCTGTGAGTGGCCCCCAGACGTTCAGGGCAGGGGGGGCAGCAGGGGAGACAGCTGTGCCAAGGGGGCAGGGTGCTGAGCGGACACGGAAGATTCTAGATGCTGTTCTGAAGAGCTTGTAGAAGGGGGTCCGTGAACTTGTCCCGAAAAAGGCCAGATGGTAACTGTTTTGGTTCTGCAGGCCATGTGGTCTCTGCCTTCAAGGATTACCAGGCTCTTGAAAGAGGCATGTAAAAAAGAAGAGAAAAGAAAAAGCCACATACAGTTTTTAAACCAAGAATCAAGGTGGGGGGAGGGTACAGCTCAAGGAGCGGGGCGTGTTCTGAGCCTGCACGAGGCCCTGAGTTCAATGCCCAGTACTCCCTCCAGAAATAAATCTAATTTACCTCTCCCCACAAAGTAAAATAATTATATAATACAATAATAAGCAAATAAAAGATCGATAAAAGTATAAACACAACGTAGTCCTTTCTTCTTAAAAAAAAAGAATCAAGGTAAAGAAAGATGCCCCAGAAAAGCTTTACTGACGGAAGCAGGCAGTGGTCTGGAAGGCCTGCCTGTATGGGCTGCTGCTGATGAAAGTGGTTATTTGCTGGACACCAGGTATGTGCAGGCTCGTTCTGTGGCCCCAGCAGGGCTGTCGCCCGTCTTTCCCCGGTCCCGCGGGCAGGTGTCACTGGTGCGCAGGCTCGGAGCGTGCCCAGCGGCTGTAACTGTAACTGTAACCCCGGGCGCAGCTGAGCGTCCACCAGCGCTCCTGAGACTTGTTGCCCCATCAGAGGACTGTGACTCGTTTCCTTTTCTTTCAGTTTCATGAACAGGCGCGTCCTGTCTGCTAACCCGTACCTCGGGAGCACCTCCAACGGCTACGCGCACCCGAGCGGCCCGGCGCTGCACTACCACGACGTCCCCTGCATCAACGGCCCGGTGAGTGCCCCGCGGCCGCGCAGCCGCCCGGGAGCGTCCGAGGCTGCCACACCTCCTCTCAGCCCGAGTGAGGGAAGGCTTTAAGATGAAACCTCCGTCCCTCGTCTCCTCCCCTCGATTCTGACACGCTGTTCGTCTCTATCTGTGTTTGAACAAGCAGGTAGACGGTTTGTCATTCATGTCGGTCCGTTAATTCAACACCATCAGAAAGGAAACAGTGACAGGGGTGACAACCCTACTGCCACCTCCAGACACCCTCCCTCCTCCGCATGGTGGACTTAGGGTAGCTGGGACATGGCGCCCCCCACCCCATCTGGGGCAGTGCATATATCATATGTGAATACTGGAGATGGTTAGCGACGGCTTTGGAATTAGACTAGCCTCCTGGGCCTGTTTGGCCTCAGGAGTTTGGGGATCTGTCTCAGGATTTTGTGTCCGATGTGGGATTCGGTGAACATTTGTTTCGCTGTGTCTCCATCACATTCATCTCGCACCCGTTGACTGAGCACCCTCTCCTGCGGGCCGAACTCCACACCCTGCTCTGGGCGAAGACGAGGCCTTCGGAGGCAGCAGGCTCGTGAAGGGGCGCACGAGAAGCCATTCTGCCAGTTTGTCTCCCAGTATCGGGTGGATTTTAAATTGGCCTCTGTGTTTGTTTGCAAGGTAGGCACGGAGCTTGTCCACGGTGATTTTTTCAAACTTGGGAGATAGAGTATTTCCTTACTGTCTGGCTTTTTACTCTTTTGTCCATTATTTCAATACAGTATCAGTCCGCTCCCCGTTACCATCATAACAAGGCCACACCTGCCCAGAGCAGGACCCAGCAGACCACTGCCTTCTCAAGTCGGGTGAGAGGGGGTCAGGACCCTGGAGCTCAGGGACAGAAGCAAACTGATAATCAGGTTGTGGTGGTCTGGGTCAGAAACAGCAGCCAGGTAACAGCGAACGATGATGGCACATAGTCCGGGCCCGGAACATCCAGCCCTGGGCCCTCCTCTGGTCACTCACCTCCTGCAGTCTTGACAAGACCACCTTGCAGGTCCTGCCAGGGGAGCAGTCTGTCCATCGGCTGCTTGATTTGAAAAGAACTTCCCCTCAGCACATAGTCCACCCCTTTCCCTCCTCACCTTCCTCCCGCCCTCCCTTCTCCCCCCCATTTCCTTCCTTATTTTCTAGGTGTCTCCTGGGGTCCAGGCACTGTGCTAGGGATTGAGAACAGAATGGATAAGATGGTGCCTGTGTCCTCAGAGAGCCTCCCCATCTAGTGGGAGGAGAAATGGGAGGGGGAGGAAGGGCCGACCGGCCAGGCAGGGATGTGGTCAAGGGCAGATTGAGATGAACTGGGGCCCCATGGGAGGTCTGGGTATGGGGGAGCAGGCAGGCTTTGAAATCCCATCCGAGCAGCAAGTCCATCAGGTGGGGTCCTTTCTGGGTCTGGAGTGGGTGGGAGACGAATCCCCTCCCACAAGAAGATTCACATGAGGCCCAGTTGGACCTTCTTGTCCCCCAGTCTCCCCACCACCTTTGCCATGGGGTCTCCAGTGCTGGGGGCTCCGGCACCCCTCCAGCCACAGCGGAGAGGCTCACGGGAGCCACGCCCCCGGGGAGGGCCCGCGGTGGCCCTTACAGGAGCAGGTGCCAGCCCGTCCCCCAGCCTCTTCCTGGCCACTGTGCACCTGGGTGGCCCCAGCCTTGCCCTCCGCTCACTTTGAGCAGCACCAGTGAGTCTTGGCAGAGCCCACCCCTCATCGTGGACCCAGCTGCCGAGCTCACCCTCCTGGGACCGGCTGCTCCTCTGGGCCTTCGGTCTCGGCTCCACCTGCTCCTCTGGGCCTTCGGTCTCGGCTCCACCTGTTTGGGAAACACTCCTGTCTCTCCGTCTCCCTGCCCGAAGGCCCGCTCGTGTGCCTCCCCGCCTAGGGTTTCTCCCCTACCTAGGTGGGCCGAGCAGTTTAGAGAAAGCACGGACCTGCACAGACACTGGTCTGGTTCCACCATCCGCTTGTTCCTGTTTATATTATGCGGGTTCAGGCACCCACAGGAAAGAGCTTCCTTTAGGTTGTGTTCAGCTTAAACAGCTTAGAAATAAAAAGCTGCCGTTTTCGAAGGCTCTGCGTCTGGGAGTCGTGTCTGCACGTGCATCGCCGGGCGTGCAAGAGAGGCGGTGAAGATGCGGCT